GACCAACACTAGCTTTGTTACTGATGGACATGGACTTTGATCTGAGATACCTAGAAAACAAGGATAAGGGCCCTTACTGCAAAAGGCTTCTGTGGGGATTGCCCGAGACTCTTTCCTAGCACTGTTTTAAAAGTGCAGTCTGCGGTTTCCTCCTCTGGAAAACGAGGGGCCGAGGAAAGGGTCTGTAAATTCCCATTCTGAATAAATATTCAGCGTTCAGGGAAACTGCATTTATCCTTGGAGAAGGACAAACTAAAAAAAGATATTTCTGGGCCGTGGCTAGTTACCGAACTTGTTTATTAGCTGGTGTGACGGAAGCACACAGAACTGTGGGTGGCAGGGAGGGGCTGCTCCCAGTCTGACAACCGTGGCCTTTGGGGCTCATCCTGCTCTTAATCAGTTGTAAGGTCCACCCCTCCCCTACCCCCACCCTGCCCTCTTGATGCTGTTGAGATACCTCCTTTCAAGACATGAGAATTAATGGGATCATATGTGTGGATTTTTTGGAACATAGTAAAAGACTATGTGCCCAAAAAATGGCTTTACTAAGATGGCCTGTAGAGCGTTCCTAAGAAAGGCAAATGAGATGATGTGTGCAAACTGACGAGGACAATACTGGACTACGCAGAAGCGTTGCGAATACCATTAAGTGCCATGAATGCCTAGAGTATGAGAGCTCAGGGGTGCAAGCATCAGCGGGTGCCTAGCATTCCTGCATTAGACCGAGTATCAGCACACTGCTGGGCTCTGTGGCCAGGTGGCACCTGCCCATCCTGGGAGCGGAGTTAATGAAGGCTCTGAATGGACACAAATGAGCTGCTTACTGGCCCATTAGTCTGTCTCCATTTTAAGCATGGTCTCCCATAGTCCCCTGTGCAGTGACTAACCAGGCCCAGAAAGGCTGCCCCAGACAGACACACTGAGAAAGACAGACAGCCTGAAGCAGCAGCGTGGATCTATTCTAAACCTAGGTAAGCTTGTCTATGTGCCCCACACAATCACGTTACAAGTTTCTGGAGTTCAGTTCATCTTTTCCAAGTCGCCGCAACCTGCCAGGTGCTGTGGGGGAACCGAGGAGTTATACATGAATGTGGTATGACCCCTTGCCTCAAAGTGCTTAGAGACTTGCGGACAGACTCAGAAGTCTGCACTGCTCTGCAAACCACATGTGCCACATGATGAAAAATGTGGGGTGCTGTGGGAGAGGAGGGGGGTGAGGTGGGGCGTGTTGTGCTTTGACTGTAAACGTTCCCCATGTTTAAATACTTGGTCCTCAGCTGTTGGCACTATTTGGGAAGGTTAAGTTCAGCCTGGCTTGGAATGCAAGCCTAGAGGAAGGGGAAGGGGAAAGCACTAGTGGAGATGTGAAGGATAAATTACCTGACCAGATCAGAGGAAAGGAAGGTATAAGATTCGATGAGGCAGCTGTGGTGGTGAGCACCTATAACCCTCGGGAGGACTGCAAGTTCAAACCTAGCCTAGACTAGGTAGTGAAGCCCCCTCTCAAAACAAAAACAAACAAACAAACAACAAACCTGAAACAGAAGCAGAGAAGCAATTCTGGGCATTTAGGGTTCCGAGGCAGAGATGGAGTGGTGGCATATGAACCTGGAAGGAACCCGGGCAAAGAAAGATCTTGAGTACAGAGGACCATCTGACAGCCCACTCCTGGCTTCACAGCAAGGCCTCGGGCCTGGTCACAGTGTATACTACCCACAGTCACCAGCTGCCAAGGGAGAGGCCTGGCCAAGGCCCCTGGGCCCACTCTTTGAGTTGAGCTGTAATGCACACAATCACCTCCCACAGATGCAGTTATTGACCGCATCTCTAAAAGATACAGCTCCAGGAAGGCTAATCGGAACAGAGTTTACCCGGAACCAGGAGGTCCCATGGAAGAGTGATGTAAGACTGGGTGCCATTGCAGGTGCAGGGGACTCACTAAAGGTGCCTGAATCTCAAGCCCTTAACAGGGCTGTTGGGATTTCCTTCCCTCTGCCACAGAAGTCCCTTTACTACCCTCCAGTGGCTGGGACAATCCCAAACCTCCTGGGGAGTTGTGAGGTGGCCCACAGTGTGGGCTGAACACTTGGATGTGCCCAAACATCACATTGAGCCAAGCAGAATTACATAAGAAGCGCAAGCTTAGGACAGAGGTGGCAAACAGAGGGACATTTTAAGAAAGGAGGTAGCTAAGCAGATGGCTCTGAAAACAGCTCACTGTTGAAACAGAAAAAGGAGGGGGGTCTATATTTGTTGCTGGGTTTTATTTGTAGGCCTTTTTCTTCTCCTCTAGCAAAGGAAAACACAGGCCATGTTTCCCGCGCCACGTAACCAACATAAATCTCAAGCAACTCCCACGAGAGAGAATGCAGTCTGCTGTATTCAAGTTGGTCCTTAGATATTTCTTCAGGACCGTTTCCCTGTCTGTATTAATAACCAAGTTTCCTGGGGGTAGAGCTGCCCAGGCCCTCTTGGGCTGGGCTATTCATCATGGCAGCAGCTGGAGATAAGCTGGACACAAAGACTTGTGTCTCAAGAGGGTCGGTCCCTAGATACAGAAGGTGGAGGAATTTTCTCATTAGTAGGAAGTCTGTGGTGGCAAGTCTGGGCTTTCATCACATGCCCCTGCTGCAAATGGCAGCAGGCAGGAAGGCTCTCTGCTTTCACCGGTCAGCTGGAAGTTTCCAAAATGAACTTTCTTGGGAGATGGAAAGCAGATGTGCCACTTACCCTTAAGGAGGTAGAGAGTCTCAGGACAACACAGGAGATGTCTGTCCTTGTCCCTACTCCCGGGAGTCATGGTGGGGGTGCTCCACATGATACCCTACACCTGGGAGGGCCTTGTGGGGAGCACTGCTGAGGGAAGCCTAAGGGATCCCCCAGGGCCCAACTCTCAAAGATAATCCTTCCGGCCAGGGAAACTCAGAGGTGTGGGATGGCAGGGACGGTGAAGAGACAATGAAGCCAAGCTCCTCTGCATTCTCAGCATTCACATACCTCAGAGGGATTCCAAAATTGGTGAGCGAACTGACCAAGAAGGAATTCTCTGAGTTTGGGACAGCATCTGGGGCTGTCTAGAAGTGCTAATTCCATTACATTTGAGTATCAGCTGGGTTCTCCACCAACATCGCACCGACCCTGGGAACAAAGTAGAGCTCTCAGTGGACTCCAGTAGATCGTCAGTGTCCCTTAACAATTGCTGTAAACCCAGAGGAAATGGACATTCTTATAGTTGAAACTAAGTGGCCTGCTTTGGGTGGTTCTGCCATGCTCCAAGACATCGTATTGGCGTAACACCTACAGGGAAGGCATAGCATCCTCACCCACTGCTAACGGAGAGGACCCTGCATCACTCACCTCCAGTGTCTGAGTAAACATGCAATCTTTGTCCCTCTAGTTTCTAGACCAGTGGCTCAGCTTAGAAGACAGCATTGAAATAGGGCCATGTGCACACCCACTTCTACACTTCAAAAGTTTCCCTAAAAACTTTTTGGTAACCATTTCTGCATATTTGACTGCAGGCAAAACAAAACAAAAACAACCAAAATACCCAAACCAGAAATAGTTTGTCACAGTGGTGGGAAAGAGGCGCATATAACAGGCACATTTCACACCTGAATTGATGACAGAAGCAGATCCCAAAGCCATCCAATGGGAGAGGTCGCCTAAAGAATGGTCACTGGAGCGCACGCTTGAAGGAAAACGTTGCTATTGTAAGCATTTTCAATGCATTTTTCTCATGCATGGGATACCGCTGGGTTGGTTTTTGTGTTACTTGGGCTTTCTCGGAATAACATAGCTGTGCCCCACAGCGGGACAAGCAAGCTAGCTTAGAAAGCCCAGTTTCTCTCTTCTTTGCCACCTCTGGGAAAACTGAAGGAGATGCAGAAAAGGTCAAAGCCTTCACCTCATGTAGAGATGCTCCTGACACAGAATCAGGGAGCCTCTGCATACTGGACTATAGACTCCAAACCCAGGTTTAGTCATGGCAGAGAAAGATCTAGACAGAAGGGCCCCCATCTTCTCCCTGTGGTAATGTGAATAGCTTGTGTGAACACAATGGAAGCCCCTTTTCCTCCCTTCCTGTTTCCTCTCTACATTCCTCCCTTTGAGGAAGTCAAAGACTTGACTCTCTAGAGTAATGATTCCCAATCTTCCTAATGCTGTGACCCTTTTAATACAGTACTTCATGTTGTGGTGACTCTAACCATAAGATTATTTTCATTTACATTTCATAACTGTAATTTTCTACTGTTATTAACGATAATAAAAGCATCCATTTTTCTGATGGTCTTAGGTGACCCCTTGTGAAATGGTCATTCAGCCCCAAAGAGTCAAGACCCACAGGTTGAGAACTGCTGTTCTAGAACATGACTCCTCTGGACCTGAAATCCAACAGCAGTAATGGGAAAGGGACTCCATACCAACTCTTGTTCATTGACATCAGCAAATGACATCAAGGGCTGTCCCAGCCCACAGCAGCCATGGGAGAGCAATTTCCATAAAGTTAACAGCTTTGAGTATTTTTCTGGTAGCCACTGATGCTAATTCTCTGTGAGGGAGCTGCTCTGGTCCCTGAGGGAAGAGTGTACACAAGAACATGCTGTTCCATCCCTTTGTGATGGAAGCAGGTTGTGTAAGATCTTCAAAGATTCAATGGGCATTTGTGCTGCCTTACAGCTTCCCCCCAGGGAAGGCTGGACATATACACAATATGTTCATGGTCCAGAAAGTCACAGATGGAGACCCTCACAGCAGTCAGCCAATCAGTGGCATAAAAGAAAGTCGCTCCATCCTAACTGGTCCTCATTAGTCTAACAGTCTCAAGTTGGAGGTTTGTTTGCAGTAACCCTCTTCCTCTTCCCTTCCAGCTCCCTCATTCCTCAGTCTTGCAGGTCTGCAAAGCAAAATATCATGGCTCTGCACCTACCCAGGGAGCCTACAGGAGCCCAGGACTCCAGAATTTTCTACCAGTGAAGAGGAAAAAAAGACAAGCCAGCAAAACACATTATCATTTTATTATGCAATTTCCTTCTACAAGAAAAATCTCTAAAAATATAAATATGAGCTCTCTAAAAAATACTCAGAATAGAACTATAATCTTGTTCTTCCAAACAGAGACAAAACTTGTTCTGTAAAAGATGATGGGTTAAAAACACATGTCTTCATATCTCCCAGATACAGAACATTCACAGGTACATTTCTAGAAAGAAGTGTGGGCTGGGACAGGGGAGGAGACACCCTCTTTCCAGGCTTCTGGAAACTTACATTGTGATCTATCAGAGTAAGGCTATGGGCTGAACAGGGGTATACAATGAAGCTGGAAAGGAGTGGGGAGACAAAGGTTCCAAGGCCCCACCTTCTTCAAACATAGAAGTTAGATCCTTCATTTCTCCCCATTAGCCTGCCCCCTCCCACTCCATGTAGATCAAACTACCCAAGGACTAGGTCCCCAGAGGATCTTGGTTCATTGGTAAGGCTGCCATGCTACAATGCAGACTGCTGACATGGTCACTGAGTCTGCTGGGGCACTATATGGAAGAACTGATGTAAGTCAAAGCTCTCAAGAGGATTTGTTCCTGCTGGCCCCTGGGAAGCACTTAACCCCTAGCACCAGGCAATATCTGCAGCATCTAAGACAAGGCTCAGTCTCAGAGGACCTCTTGAGGTAGCAGCATCACTTCCGTAGTAGGGAGATGGCCAAGACCCTAGGAGTTGATGTAGGCATTCATGGCACCCAGTTCAAGATCAAGTCTAAGTTTAAAGTACTCAGAAGTTTCCTTTTCAGGGGTCCTTGGGCAATATGATGGAGTCTTTTGGCTAATCCTGGGCCTGTGGGCCAGGACTCTAGCAGTATCCTGGGTGCTTAAGCAAGTTAAGCTTCATATTGTTGATCTTAGGCAACCATATCACTTAGGCACCTTAGGGAAGGAGCAGCCCCAGAGGGCAGCCACTGGCTGAGTATCCCATGGGGCGGGGTAGACCACGATTCTGGTATGCAGAGCTCAGGTCACACTAAACATATGCTCTAGTGTATGCTGAGACTTTCCACCCCTAGAGCCTGAACTCTTTGTTTTGGGTAATATCACAAATCACTCATGGAAAAATTCGTAGATGCTCAAATGCTAATCCTAAGGACTTCTCTGACTCCAGGGTCAGATGTCACATCCTTAGGATGTTCTTGGAGCAAGGCACATGTGCTACATATGTGCTAACAGTCCTGTGTACTCCACCAGGGCCTTCAGATGCCTAGCTGCATGGAGTGTCTCTGAGAGGAAGAGACAGGACTATGCAGGAAGCATGGGATGAGCTCCTGCCTTCATGACAATGGAAGACGGGGCAAGAGAGGAGGGTTGGAGGGCAGAGATGGCTGAAGCCATACGGCTGCTTAAGCAAGGGTATGAGAGGGAAACCTCATCCCAGAGATCCCGCTGAGGCCTCCCATTCTGGTTCTCAGGAGTTAGCTCAGCTATCTGCTGGTTGGGAGGAGGGCAGCACATTGGTGATGCTGAACAGACAAGTGAGACCTGTGTGCCCCAGTCTCACAGATGGGAAGTCAGGCAAGCAGAAAAGGGAGGACCACGGGAAGTAGAGCAGATGACTGCTACATGGCCTGCCCTGGCTGGAGGCACCATCCCCAGCCTCCTTGTGGGGCTCTGACCTCCTTATTTGACAATAGGGATGTCCTCTTCCGACTACAAAGATTCTTGTGGCCAGGATCACTACAGAGTCTCCTGGTCACAGGAAGACAGCATGATAGGGCTCCTGGAGGGAGAAAGGAAGACAAAGCAAGTTAACCTGGAAGGCAGGAGCTGATCAAGGGTTGATAAGCCTTGCTGGTTCCTTACACTGGTCCCGACAGCAGAGGCAGAGGAAGATCTCTGTTATGTGGATAAAGCACAGAGGCTCAGGTATCTCTGGGCAGGCCTGGGGCTGCGGGGAATTCAGGCAACCTCAGTACAAACACAAAGAAGCCCTCTCACTCAGCGACAACTGCACTGTCTCCACAGTCCTCATCACATTCCAGTCTCTCACATGCTACACCCTGGCTCTCACACATACTGCTCCCAGGCCGCCAGCACTGCCTAGTTCTTGGTGTGGAGTGGCCCGAGAAGCTGCTCTGATTCTCAGTGATGCCCTTCTCAGTCCCTACTTTACTCTTCTCTATGATCTCCGCTCCTGTACAACCATTCCATGTTCCCGAGCTCTCCTCTTGAATATCAGAACACTCTTTGCTGCTTCTGTGGGGGCCTGCCTACCCCTGCCTTCTCTCACACAGCCAGGAACCCCAGCACAACTGCCTATACCATTGTGCTAAGTGCCTATCCAGAGAGGTAGGGGAGCATCTAACTGGATGGGGAAACCTTGGGAACCCTGGTGACAAGGCTGGCTCAGCCTTTGAGGAAGCTCTCAAGGTCCCAAGCCTGGGAAGCACCTCCACTGGCCCTAACCAAGAAACAGAGGAAAGGTGGTGGTTAGAGGTCCACATGGCCTAGAGGCTGTGTTAGAGGGTAGCTTTCCATGCAAGATTCCATCATCAAGCCAAACCTACCCATCACTCTTCCCTAGCTGTATTTCCTTTAAGGCAGGGAGTCCTTGGACCACTATGGAGGAAAGGGATAGAAAAAGGGATGGAGGAGGGGGTGGGTGGATAAAAGAACAGACAGCATATGCATCTGATCAGACAGGCAGAGAGAATTCCTGCCAGATCCATTCTCCTCGGCTGGTGGCCCTATAATTCAGTAGGAAGCTGGGACAAGCCCGATGGTGGATGAGTTCGAACAGCAGCCAGATCTTACAGAGAAGTGGGATCAGAGATGTCACACGCATCCTTCTGCCAGTCTGCAGATTCCTTAACTGGGACCACCTGTGGCCATCTGGGATAAAGAACCTGTGTGCAGTGAAGGACAGAGTGAAGAGTGTGTTCAGCAGGGAAGACAGACACACTACTCAAAGGACAGCAGGTCTGGGTGAAGGCCCTCATTGTCAAGACTGGAGGTCCGTGCCCGTGGAGGTGGGCTGCTGTTCTCCCAGGACTCAGCCAGGCTGATGGGACTCAAGGTGAGTCTGAGGCCATTCCTCTCAATGGGGTCAGGGGAGGAGGCTTTTCTGCACTCAGTCACCTTTAGCTTGGATTCCTCCTGGCTGTTCTTGTGTATGAGGTCAGGTACCAACAAGGACACCTCCCCATTGGGCAGAGCCTCTCCCTTGTCTCCCATTTCAATGGCAGACTCTGGTCGTGAATTATCTGCAGAGACAGGCTGAGCCATGGGTGGAGAGTCCTGGGCCTGCCCAGGTGACAATTCTGTCCCATATTCTAGACTGCTTAGGACAGGTTGTGATGAAATCAGCATGTCCTGGGTGGTCTTCAGGGCCCGAGGAGTTCGCTTCCGGGTTATGGGAGGTGGAGGATCCAGCAGAGGGAACGCTTCTTGGACTGACCTGCAAGACCATGACAATAAACGTTCAGGCTTTAGGACGGTGAGACACCAGTCGATATACATTCTCGATTCTCTACTCCAGCTGCTTCTTCAGCTTGCCACCCCTTCCCCCCCACCCAGTGAGTGCTTCTTCTGAGAGTTCGTTCTGGATTTAGGGTGTAGACCTCAGTGACTTTAGCACAAGCAGCTATGGGGCTGTCCCCTCCTCATTCAGTGCTCAGAGTGGCACAAAGTGCTGCCTCTGTGAGGCTGGAGAAAGATCCCAGTCATCCCAAATACTGGGCCCCGTTAAAAGGCAAATGAGCTCTTGGCACAGTTGGAATGGAGGCCCAGAAAGTAGCTGTTGGATAGGGACAGAAGTAGCTGTGGCAGGTTTCTCCCTTCCTTCAGGCACTTGGTCTACAGCAGCAGCTCTCGGGGATGGCTGGCGTCAGAACCCATGAGAGGAGTTTGAGTGACACCAGGGTCAGAATCCAGTTCCAAATACTGAGAGGCACAGCCACCTCTGTGAACTTGGGACATTTGCAAATGGAGCTATATCTAAACCTGGCATGGTGGTTCACACCTATCTTCCCAGGAAAGCCAAGACAGGAGAATAGCTATGACCTTGAGGGCAGCTTGCTTGGGCTGGAGAGCGGGTTGTAGGCTAGGCTGAGCTACAGTGTGAAACAGAGCTAAGAACGTAACGCCCAGGCAGGAAGCGCATCTCTGGTTATGGAGGCTGAAGTGGGCTCTCATGAGCACAGGTCTATCTCAGCTTTTCTTGACTTACTCATCCCTTCCCTGGTCTGTTCTCTCCTGAACGTGCTGTAGTCAGTGTTCCTACCTCTCCAGGTGGGTCAGCGGGGTGGCGGGGAGGACTCACCTGTTGTCCTCCAGCCAGGATCCACAGGCCACATCTACCCCAGCAGCCAGCTGGGCCCCAGCCGTCTTGTTAATTTCCATCACACCCACACTGCCCAGGCTTGAGGACTCCTTTCTTCTTAGGAGGTCATTGACCTTGGCCCCCATGGCTCTGCCCAGGTTCTTAAGGTGCTGGCTGCTCCCCACCCTCAGTCCTGGTCCCCCTGGCTCCGCAGAGCCAGGGGTGATGGAGCTCGGGGCCACAGATCTGGACAGGTGCGGGAAGGAACGGCTAGCCTGGAGCTTTGGAGTGAGGGCTGTGTTCAAATTCTCAAACATGCTGTGGTCAACTGTGAACAAAGAAAAGAGAGAGAGGGACGTCTAAGTGTGGAGGGGAGTAGGACCCTGCACTTCGTTATCCATCTTTCCTGGTTTTATAATACACTCGAAGCTCATCACGGCACAAAGTTTTGGAAGCTTCTAGAAAAGATGCTTTTAAACTTTCCAGGATATTTCTTTTCCTTTTTTTTTTCTTTTGTTGTTGACAGGACATGTGACCAAAAATTTCAGTTGTTCCCCATCCTGGTTAATCAGTGACAGAGTCGGTCATAAAAAGTCAAGAAGTATTCCTTTAAACCAGTCTCCTTGCCCTCTTTGGCTGTGGGGTCATGAGGCCCTTTGAAGCAGAGAGAAACTGAGGATGAAACAATGAAGTATGACATGTTTACTCTTTCTCAGGGAACAATGGGAGCACCGCCTGCTGCAGGCATGGTGGACAAGGGTTCTGGGCTGGGAGATCCCTACTGAAAGCCACATGTGTGACACATTCTCTCCATAGAATATGAGCCAGCAGCTCCTAAGGTCTTCTGGAGGGGAACTTAGGAGAGTAGGTAAGCTTGTGGACACAGAGGCAGTCAGCCAATCAGACCCAGTGTGTGTCACATGCACAGGGCCTTGCTTCCAGGGACGCACAAATGTCCTAGCAAACCCCTGCTCACTCATCCCCATGAGATCCCACTAGAGGAGCTCATTAGACTAGGGAGAGGCTCAGAGTAGTAACTGTGGGCCTGACACCACAACACTAGCTATTGATCAGTTGGAATCAGAGCACAGGCCTTCTAACCCAGTCTTGGGCTCTTTCCTAATGGAATCGCTATGGAAGATAGTCCTTTGTATGGGTTGAACAGTTGGCTTGAGGGCTAGCTTACTGGGTGGCAAACATTCCCAAGGCTGAGACCTCACTCCATATATCTCTGTGATTGTATTTTCACACCAAACTTGGGCTTGGAACATAGCAGGTACTCCATGAGTGTCTAAAGTGAACTGCCCACATCTATTTCACCAGAGGAAAATTATGAAGGCTAAGATGGTAGCCCTGAAGCCTGTTGTTGAAAAGCTCCAAGCTCTGTGTTAGGCTTCTCACACCGAGTGCTGTACAATTTTATGTCAACTTGATACAGGTTAGAATCACCAGAGAGGAGGGAGCCTCAATAAGGAAAATGTCTCCTTAAGACAGGCTATAAGCAAGCCTGTAGAGCATTTTCTCAAGTAGTGACCCATTGTGGGTAGTATCATCCCTGAGCTGGTGGTCCTAGATTCTATAAGAAAGCAGGCTGAACAAGTTACAAGCAGTAAGTCAGCAAGCAGCACCCTTAATGGCCTCTGCATCCGCCCCTGACTCCAGGTTCCTGCCCTGCATGAGTTCCTGTTCTGACTTCCTTCAGTGATGGTCTATGGATGTGTAAAGCATGAGCTAAATAAACCCTTTCCTCCTCAACTTGCTTTTGGTCATAGTGTTTCATCACAGTGGTAGTAACCCTGATTAGGATATCTTGACACCTAGTCATGCATGTTCTCCCCGAAAATTCATCTACATCATCAAAGGAGCCAGACTTTGAGCCTTAGTTGTCCATGGCCATTGTTCTAGCTTTGTTGTCTATCTGGACAAAGAGAGGTTGCATGTGGTCCCTGGGCTCTCACTGTCAATATGTCTGCTAAGGGTCTATCCAACTCAGTAAGCCTTTGCTAAGATCGCCTGAGGATAAGTCTTCAGAGTCAGTCTCACTTGTCCTGCATTCCTGAGTTCCAGGCCAGAGGGAATGCTTCACTTTCTGTGATTTGAGTTGAGAAATCCCAGTTGGATCAATGGCCTAGATAACGTGTATTCGAAGGATCCCTGGGTGGCAGGGAGAAAGCCCTGGGAAGAAGAGTGGAGTCCCCATGGAGACTTTTCCATGGTCTTCACCTCTGAGTAACCTTGACCAACGGGCACATTTTCTCATGGGATATAGTTGGCAGCTCCTCAGGTCTTTTGGGATGGAAATTACTATGTGGTAGGAAGGACATGTCAAGGGATTTGGGACAAGTCCCAAGCTGCCTGGACTCCAGATGTGCACATATCACATCAGCAGAGCGCTCAGCCTACTCCACAGCTGCTCCTGACTGTTCTCTTACTAGTGTGTCTCACCATATCATTCTTTATGGCAGAATTTGCCTATCATGATCCAAGTCCTTTCATTTTATTTACCTAGGCACTCTGCAAGCTAGCAGCGGTTATTTGGAAACTAATTCCACTATACTTTCCCCACACCATCCAGAAAGGAATTGTATGCAATGCTCCATAGGTGTGTGTTAGGAGCAGCAAGTTCTCCACTATTTCCTGGACCTCGTATTTCGCTGGGGGTTTCTTTACATTGTCAAAGCAAGCACACTCATCTTTAAAAGTGGAAACATTAAAACTGCCTCTCAATGTGATTTGTAAATCATGAGTACCTATTACTTCCAAAGCAGACCTTTAACAAATAATCTAGATGATGCCTCATTTGGAATTTTTGTACTTCTCTACTTTTCATATTATAGTTTGTGGACGATTCTAAATTCCTCAGCAATTCAAAGTGAGCCTGTTATATGCTTTATCATTACCTGAATTTTCCAGGGAAATACACCTGGTTTATCTAACAGAACGGGAAGACCCTTGAAAGGGGCTATGGAATCTTAGAGTACTTTTATTATCCATAAGGCCTTGCATAACAATAAGCATTTAATAAATTAGTTTAATTGAATTTGACTTTTATGTGAACTCTTAAAAAATATCCACATCTCAACAATGGGCTGACAGTATAAAGAGATCACTCGGGCTGTTTCTAGACTTGTGACTACAGTCTCAGAAACCACTCAAGCACTCTCTGTGGCAGTGGTTACAAGGGCCTGTGAGCTCAGACTAGGAAACATTGCCTTGGGCTCTGCTGTCCCCACAGTGAACCCCTTTCCTGCTAATGAGCCCCTCGCACTCAGTCCCCTGTCCGAGGACTAGTCTTGGTGACTGAGAGGACATGATGATGGTGGGAAAGAGGACCGGATGCCAGCAGGGAAGCCTTCCCAAAAGCACCCCATAACATGCACACACTCAAGCAGAGCGGGGAACAGGGGGTCTTACCTGTCCGAGAAAAGGGCTCGAAAGGCAGGTGGGGAACAAATGAGAGAAAGACACATTTATGTAGTGACCAATCACTGTGAGAGAGATAGCTCCTGTTTGAGCCATCAGCAACAACAACATGAAAAAGGCTGTGCCGCCAACTTTTTTAGCAAACCATGGAAAGACCAAGTTCCCACAAACTCTCCAATAGCTAAATCAAAACAGGGTCATGTTTTCAACAAGTCACTACTGCAGCCTTTCCAATTTTCCTCCTGACATTCTGGGTCCCCTTTACAATAATTCTATCTACCTAGTTGGTAATAAAAAACACTTCTAAGTCCCTGGGACCCTGTGCATATAGCTCACATTCATTCATACACTCTCAGTCTAAAGGAACAGTCTGGAAAAGTCAAGTGGCCAAGGCTGCCCACCACACAGACAGCTGATGGAGAAGGGGATTCAAAATCATGTATTCTGACTCCAAGACCATGGTGACCCAAATGACATGGCCAATAACCTTAGAGCCACCAAAATATTAGAGTTCAATTTACATTGTAAACATTCTAGCAGTCTAAACCAACCATGGGGGAGAACAGGAGGGGAATTATGTCCCCTTACTCCTTCAAATGTCCAAGTAGCTGGGAATAAATGCTCAGACATGTTCTACAGGATGGCCATAGTTGGGAGTTTAGAGCAGGACTGGCCCTTGCAGCTAGTGTAAAGACTTCACCATTTACATCCAAAGCATCTATGTATCTAAGTTGACGGGCTTTGATGATTCATAAGGGACACCTAAATCTTCTCTTGCAAGGCTCACAATCACCTTCCATTCATATCTTACATCCTACTAAGTAAGGTACCAGGTTGTTACAGAGGAAAGGAAGGCAGAGAGACGAGGCAGCCCCAGAGTCCACAGTCTTATCAGCGCAATAGAATGGAGGGAGCCACTTGCCTAAAAGAACACCAACTTTTAGAAACCGTATCTGATCAATATAAAAGGATATAGGGTAACTTACCTCCAGATAGTTCAGAAAACAAAACACAGTAAGAACTGGGGATTGTGAATGTTGCTCAGTGGTAGAGTGTTTTACCCAGCATGCAAAAAGCCTTGGGTTTCATCCTTCATCCCCAATCTCTCTCTTTCTCCCTCCCTCCCTCCCCCGCTCTGTCTCTGTCTCTCTCTTTCATACACACACACACACACACACAATATATGAGGAACTGATAACACAAATGGGATAAAATGTTAAAACAGGAAAACTTGGCTACACAGTATATGGATGTTTTTGTACTAATCTTAAGTTTTGCAAATTTTAGAAATTGAAATTATTTCCCAAAAGTGTATGTATGTATGTACGTGTATATATATACATATATATATATATATATTCCTGATCTAAACATACATATATATCCCTGCTCTAAACAATACTACACATAGAACAAAACAACAAAAACATTGAGTGGTAGAGGCCAGGAAAATAAGGGAGAAGAAAAGCAAGATGGTCACTCCCAGAGGACAGGGGATCTCAGAGGTCGGAACACATGGGGATGTCAACACAGAAAAGATGACACTCATGAAGAACAAACAAGACAAACAATACCACTGCCATGGCTCTACAATATTCTTCCTTCTGGCTGGGCAGTCTCGGCCAAGAAAAAAAAATCCAGCCATTACCCCCATCTGCAGTGTAGGTGGCAGAGACTTTCTTCCATTCTGTGGGATACCCGTTCACTCCATCGATAGTTTATTTTGCTATGCAGTGGTTTTTTAGCTTCATGCAATTCCATCCTGATGCTATTTCCTGAGTCACTGGAGTTCTGCTGAGAAAGTTCTATAGCGAGAATCTTGAAGTGCATTCCTTATGTTTTCTCTAGCAGTTTCACATTTCCAGTTGCAAATGGGCCTAACTGTATTCTTTCACAGATGGACAC